AAAGGTTTTGCAGCTCCATTCAGGATGAGAAAGCAAAAGACTCTCCCCCAAAAGGGTAGTCCAGTTTTTTCCCCAACAGCGATAATCAGAGGGAATCTAAAAACTCAGTGCCTATCCACACAATTCACCAACCACATCAACAGTGTATATTTCAAGGAAGGAAAAGGAGGGAAGGAAGTGGAAAAGGGAAAAAGGTTTTGCAGCTCCATTCAGGATGAGAAAGCAAAAGACTCTCCCCCAAAAGGGTAGTCCAGTTTTTTTTCCAACAGCCTAATTTAGCTCCTACTATGAAATGCCCTGCCCTCAGTGCTGTTGCTCGCGAGGATCATAAACTCTCATTCCTGGTCAGTGGGTTTGTTGCAGCCTGTTTATTTGATGGGAAAAAAGTTTTGGTGTATTGCCTCTCCTCTCACTAGGCGACCCCTTCTGCAACCTATTGTTATCAAACCAATCTATCACTACTTTGTCAGCTATGAACCTTAGCCCAGCTGAAGTGGAAGCAAGCTCATTTGTGTCCTATAGACCACCTAGTCCACATTGCAGAGTTCAACCAATAGCGATTCAGAACTAATTTCAACGACTAAAAGCTTTTATTTATTTTCTTTAAGATAAATAGTATGTACTTCTCTTTCTGAATTATCCTTCGTGTTAAAAACTGTGCTCCAATTTATCCTACAAGTGTACACGCAGGCTGCTTGCATGGAACTGTGGAGTTAATAACTTCAAGAACGAAGACATTCTTTTGCCATTATAAAAACCCTGTGCCCACAGCCACAAAATGTGACACACTGAAATCCACAAGATCCTTATTAATGTTTTCTACAACAACCTCCCACAACATACCAACCCCTCAAAGGAAAATAAAACGTTCAGAACTTGGTGCTCTTTCCCCCCCCTAGAGGTTTTAAGAACAAAGACTGCATATTTAGGAACACACATCAGTTTAGTGCATCCCAAAAGAGCTGACAATTTGTGAAAAAACCAACAACACACACAGCAGTCTTGTGACAATGCCGTCTAGCCTGCTAGCAAAACTTTTGGAAGCATCAACACAATACGGTTGTATAACCCAGAAGAGGAACGCTACAAGGGACTGAAAAGAAAGAAAGCCTTTGTATGGAAACAGGATGGGGAAAAAACATTAAATATTAATTTTTCCTGCCCCCCCCCAAAAAAGAGAGCTGGTGCACTATCTCTTAAAATCAGCAGCCCTCCAACACTTATTTTTCAAAGAGGGAACCTACTTTTCTAAAGTTCTTTACGAATAGCCACCCACAAGCAAAACGTTCTCCTCTCCAAACCCCCCAAAAATACTGTTTAAGGAAAAGGGAATTGGATCAATCATTAAAGAGTTAAATGGAGGTAGTATGACAGTCCCTATTGTTGTCTCTCAGCACACTTGTCTTTTCCAACGCAGCTGACAGATCCTATTAGGGGCATAAAAAAGAGGATGCTTTGGACTGGGGAGGGATGGAATATGCTATTGAAAACTGGAGACAATGGCTCACTTCTGCAGACTCGTTCAAGCCCCGCAGAACATCTGTCCAGAATCAATTCTTGACCTAATGTTTCTTTCATTGAATATTAAACTTTGTATCCATATGCAATTCATTCTCTGGGCCAGAATTGTTATTTGGAGCACAAAAGCAGAGGGGAACAACAGAGAGCAAAGGCCTCCCCGCGTAGGCCCCCATTTAAACAAGAGCTGAGAGAACAAAACAAAAACACAAAGCCACCCCCAAAGCAAAAGTAGAAGGGGGGAAAGGGGGGGAGACCTCATCAGCAACCATTTTAAGAGGCCCGTCCATGGTGCACATTGTACTGGCATTCTTGGACATCAAAAACCCTGCAATGCTATGCTCCTGCATGGCCCTCACCCACGGCAATGCACCTTTTACAAAGCATCCATGGGGAACAGAAGCTCAGAGTGATCAGTATTAAGGAATGATGTCAACATTTCTGAACTGTATGAAAGCAGAGCTTGGAAAAAGTTCTGGGGTTTGATGACATTTCTCAGAACCTTCCCCTTGTCCAGCAAGGGCTGTATGTGTGCAAATTCTTTGCAGCTGTATGAATGATTGTGATCCTTCCCTGTATGGACCTGGTACTCTCATGCAGAAGGAGCCCACAGTCTTGTATGTCTTCTCTAAAAATCCTATCATGTGAAGTCACGTATCATGTGAACTCAATGGTCCAGGAAGGAAGACTGGGTGATGGTACAGAAGGTAGATGTGCTCAAAGCAAGAGCACCTGAAAGGGTTGTTGTTGTTTAGTCATTAAGTCATGTCTGACTCTTTGTGACCTCATGGACCAGAGCACGCCAGGCCCTCCTATCGTCTACTACCTCCTGGAGTTGGGTCAAGGTACCTTCGATGACACTGTCCAACCATCTCATCCTCTGTCGTCCCCTTCTCCTTTTGCCTTCACACTTTCCCAACATTAGCGTCTTTTCCAGGGAGTGTTCTCTTCTCATGAGATGGCCAAAGTATTGGAGCCTCAGCCTCAGGATCTGTCCTTCCAGTGAGCATTCAGGGTTGATTTCCTTCAGAACGGATAGGT